ATAGCCCCTTCCTACTCTTTTCTATGGCACACACCAAACAGAGGAATTCATCAGCAACTGAATATACTGGAGAGGTTTGGGGAGAATTCACCATGATTTATAGCAGTTGTAGGTACTGGGATGTATAGTTCACCTGCAATCTAAGAGCAGCACTATGAACTCCACCAAAGATGAATTTGGGCCAAACTTGGCACACAAAGCCCCCAGGTCCAGCAAACAATACTGGAGGTCTTTGGGGAAAATTCACCTTGTTTGGGGGAGTTGTAGTTCACCTACATCCAGAGAACATTGTGAACCCAATCACGGATCACCTGATATGCCGAAATTTTATTCCTGGAGGAGTTCGGGGAGAACTGACCTTCCTGAACACTGAACCCCACCGATGCTGCATCTAGAGCAAACTTACCCAGCATAACAAACTTTAAATACTGATAGAGTTTCTTGGGGTTAACCTGGCATGATGTGAGTTTTAGTTCACCCACAACGTTATGCATTTTGTACAATTAAAAAATGACTTTTTCATTTATATACGTCACTAGAACTTTCTTTTTCTCCGGGCCAGATGCATAATACATCTTTCCCAGAGATTTTTGTTCCAAATAAGCAGTATGTTTTTGTGCAATGTGTGTTTTTTTTTCCCTAACGAGATTAAATCGTAACTACCTTTTTTTAAGTGTTGCCAATTTTTTTCTTTTATTAGGGGAATTCAATCTATTAACATTATTACAGTAGATCATAGAATCATAGAATCATAGAATCATAGAATCAAAGAGTTGGAAGAGACCTCATGGGCCATCCAGTCCAACCCCCTGCCAAGAAGCAGGAATATTGCATTCAAATCACCCCTGACAAATGGCCACCCAGCCTCTGTTTAAAAGCCTCCAAAGAAGGAGCCTCCACTACACTCCGGGGCAGAGAGTTCCACTGCTGAATGGATCTCACAGTCAGGAAGTTCTTCCTCATGTTCAGATGGAATCTCCTCTCTTGTAGTTTGAAGCCATTGTTCCGCGTCCTAGTCTCCAAGGAAGCAGAAAACAAGCTTGCTCCCTCCTCCCTGTGGCTTCCTCTCACATATTTATACATGGCTATCATATCTCCTCTCAGCCTTCTCTTCTTCAGGTTAAACATGCCCAGTTCCCTAAGCCGCTCCTCATAGGGCTTGTTCTCCAGACCCTTGATCATTTTAGTCGCCCTCCTCTGGACACATTCCAGCTTGTCAATATCTCTCTTGAATTGTGGTGCCCAGAATTGGACACAATATTCCAGATGTGGTTTAACCAAAGCAGAATAGAGGGGTAGCATTACTTCCCTAGATCTAGACACTATGCTCCTATTGATGCAGGCCAAAATCCCATTGGCTTTTTTTGCCGCCACATCACATTGTTGGCTCATGTTTAACTTGTTGTCCACGAGGACTCCAAGATCTTTTCACACGTACTGCTCTCGAGCCAGGCGTCCCCCATTCTGTATCTTTGCATTTCATTTTTTCTGCCAAAGTGGAGTATCTTGCATTTGTCACTGTTGAACTTCATTTTGTTAGTTTTGGCCCATCTCTCTAATCTGTCAAGATCATTTTGAATTCTGCTCCTGTCCTCTGGACTATTGGCTATCCCTCCCAATTTGGTGTCATCTGCAAACTTGATGATCATGCCTTCTAGCCCTTCATCTAAGTCATTAATAAATATGTTGAACAGGACCGGGCCCAGGACGGAACCCTGAGGCACTCCACTTGTCGCTTCTTTCCAAGATGAAGAGGAAGCATTAGTGAGCACTCTCTGTGTTCGTCCACTTAACCAATTACAGATCCACCTCACCGTAGTTTTGCCTAGCCCACATTGGACTAGTTTCCTTGCCAGAAGGTCATGGGGGACCTTGTCGAAGGCCTTACTGAAATCCAGGTACGCTACATCCACGGCATTCCCCGCATCTACCCAGCTTGTAGCTCTATCGACGAAAGAGATCAGATTAGTCTGGCATGACTTGTTTTTGATAAATCCATGTTGACTATTAGCGATGACTGCATTTGTTTCTAAGTGTTTGCAGACGCTTCCTTAACAATCTTTTCCAGAATCTTGCCCGGTATCGACGTGAGGCTGACCGGACGGTAGTTGTTTGGGTCATCCTTTTTTCCCTTCTTGAAGATTGGGACCACATTGGCACTCCTCCAATCTGCTGGAACTTCTCCCGTTCTCCAAGAACTCTCAAAGATGGTTGCCAATGGTTCCGAAATGACTTCCGCTAGTTCCTTCAATACTCTGGGGTGTAGTTGATCTGGCCCTGGGGACTTGAACTCATTAAGAGCGGCCAGGTATTCCTGGATGACTTCTTTCCCAATTTGGGGTTGGGGATCTTAATTCTCCAGGCCATGGTTGTCATTGGTCTCTTCCTCTAAGTCTATATTTGTCTTTGTCTTGTCTGTTTGGAGCAGGGGTCCCCAAACTATGGCCCGTGGGCCGTATGCGGCCCGCCGAGGGCATTTCTCCGGCCCGCGCACCAAAGACTCTGCCATAAATATATTATTTTTCTTTTTTAAACCTTTTCTGGACTTTTGCAAATTTGAGGCAATGGGAGAATGGGAGTGGACCAGCGGCAGCTTCTCCCCTGCTATGATCGCTATCGTATCTAACCTGTCAATAAATTGTATCTATTTTCATGATTTTCTGTATACTTTGTCTCCTTTTACTATAGATCGTATCTATTTCTTATATAAAATGTATACAAGCTGCTTTATAAAATGTATCAAAAATGTTGCCCAGAGTCAATTAACCCTCCGTGACCTCACAGAAATTATTCCAAGGAACCAGAAGTCTGGACAATCCCCTCTGGCCATTTCCCAAGCTAGGTAATCATTGGGTCTATTGTTTATACTTATGCAAAGATAGGTGACTTCCCTTGCCAGCCCAGATAAACCCAAGACTGTTTGTATAGATATATGGTACACCTGAGGCTGAGAGATTGCTGCCCATGAAACACAGATTTAAAAGCATGTGCATTTGCTAAGTTATTTTGTCCGCTGACTCGTGTACGTTGGATGTTGTATGTTGTGAGCACACAGCAATCAACCTGTGTACATGTCCTGTCTTTTCAATTAACGCCTTGCGTCTCGTATCATGCTCACACACTGTGGCACATACTACAGCACACATGCTTGACTCTTCTGTGCATTAACGCACTTCACGATTTCTTTTTCGAGGGTATGGTTAATATCCTACTTCCATGTTTGGTACCTTATATGTCAGTCCGCCACGCAATGGCGATGCCTGGATCAGAGGAGTTGTATAGACACACTGTGTAGATGGTGTGCCTCACGACAGCGCGCTGGTGTGCTGCCACCGGGCACACCTACCAGTCTGCGATTTCACGTCCTGGTGACAGCGCAGATGGATGAACATCTACACCAGAATGGAGACATCAGATGCATGTCATTATATGTCACGGGCAACACAACTCACATCACACACACCACACGAGGAGACAGTATCACGTTGTCTCGTTGATAGCGGCCGGCGGTGTCTCTGCTCAGCCAATGTTCTTCATGGGAGCTGTGTACAGACTGGTTCAATTCCATCATTGGTGGAGTTCAGAATGCTCTTTGATTGAACTATAAATCCCAGCAAATACAACCCCCAAACGCCACCAGTGTTCACATTTGGACATATTGAGTATCAGTGCCAAGTTTGGTCCAGATCTATCATTGAGTCCACAGTGATTTATGGAGGCAGGTGAACTACAACTCCAAAACCAAAGGACACTGCCCACCAAACCCTTCCAGTATTTTCTGTTGGTCATGGGAGAACTGTGTGCCAAGTTTGGTTCAATTCCATCGTTGATGGGGTTCAGAATGCTCTTTGATTGTAGGTGAACTATAAATCCCAGCAACTACAACTCCCAAATGTCAAGATTCTATTTTCCCCAAACTCCACCAGTGTTCAATTTGGGCATATTGAGTATTTGTGCCAAGTTTGATCCCGATCCATCATTGTTTGAGTCCACAATGATCTCTGAATGTAGGTGAACTACAACTCCAAAACGAAAGGACACTGCCCACCAAACCCTTCCAGTATTTTCAGTTGGTCATGGGAGAAATGTGTGCCAAGTTTGGTTCAATTCCATTGTTGGTGGGGTTCAAAATGCTCTGTGATTGTAGTTGAACTATAAATCCCAGCAACTACAACTCCCAAATGACAAAATCAATTTTTTGTGTGAAGGACATACATTGGGTTGTTAGGTGTCTTGTGTCCAAAATTGGTGTCAATTCGCCCAGGGGTTTTTGAGTTCTGTTAATCCCGCAAACGAACATTACATTTTTATTTATATAGAAGTGTGGGTTTTTGTTTTTTGATTTTTTGGGGGGGGGGGGTTGCACTGCAAATAATATATGTGCAGAGTGCATAGGAATTCATTCATTTTTTTTCAAATTATAATCCGGCCCTCCAACAGTTTGCGGGACTGTGACCCGGCCCTGTTCAAAAAGTTTGGGGACCCCTGGTTTGGAGGGTATAATCTTTGGGTGATTTTTCTCTTGGTCTTTTCCTTCTGTTGTCATATTTTTCATTTTCTTTTATTCGCGGTGTTCTACTATTTTGAATAATTTGTTTGAATTCTGAAAATCCTATCTAAATTAATCTCAATATCCATTTTGGTTCTTTTGGTGATATGTATTATCATGTCCATTATAATCTCTTTAATGTTTTCGTAGTCTTCCTCATTTATGTTTCTAAATCTTAGTTGGTATTTTTTCTCTTTCATTTATAAGGACTCTTGTTGAGTTTGAATTGAGTTTATTATTCCTTCCAGGTTGTGGATTTTTTTTCATAACTCCTTGTTCGGTTTTAATGATCTTGTTTTCATTTAGTAGCTCTTTGTTCTCCTGTTTCAACTTCTCTGTATCTTCTTTCATAGTTTTAATCTCTTCTTTGATTATTATAAGTGACCCTTCATTTCCTGTTTTATTTCATCCATTTCTTCTCTAATTATTTTGTTTTGTGTATTTTGATTACCTTGTATCTTTTTGACTTCTGTTTGGAGTTTCATAATTTTTCTAATTACATCTTTAATCCCCTGTTCTTCTGGAAGGGAGCCTCTTCTTCCTGTCCCCGATCCTTTTTTCTCCATGTTCCTTTTCTTCTCTTGTTTCTCCTTTTGTGCTTGAGACATCTGGATCCAAAAGAGAGGAATACAACAAACTAGAGAAGGAAATAGCAAGTTGGGAAAACCAGGCTAAAAAGGAACCACAAAATAAAAAAAATATCCACTTGGAACTATTAAGGAAACAAATGAACACATTACAATTAGATGAGATGGAAAAGAATCTCAAATTTGCAAAACAATACCACTTCGAGAATGCCAACAAGATAGGGAAGTGGCTAGCGAGGAAGATCGCAATAGTAAAAAATAGAGGGAAAAGGGAAAAGCTACCACCACACTAAAGATATTATGGATCAATTTGTAAAATATTACAAAGAACTATATAAGGATGATAATATACCCAGAGAAAAAATAATGCACTATCTAGGGAAACAGGACATCCCAAGAATAACAGAATAATAGAGAGAAAATTTAAATAAAAAAGTTACACGCGAAGAAATAAAAAAGACTTTACAAAATATGCCAATAGATAAAGCTCCAGGACCGGATCTATAAGGTCTTCCAAGATATATTAATACCACAATTACAGAAGGTGATGAACAATGTAATAGAGGAAGGGAATATACCAAACTCATGGAAAGAAGCAATAATTTCAATAATACACAAAGAAAACACAGATAGTACATCGGTAAAAATTCCTTATTCAACGTAGATTGCAAGATATTTACCGGGGTACTGGCCTCAAGACTAAAGGAACTATTAAGCACTACAGTAGGGGAAGACCAAGCGGGATTTCTTCCAAAGTGCCTCACCTCACTACCTCTGAGGATGCTTGCCATAGATGCAGGTGAAACGTCAGGAGAAATGCCTCGAGAACATGGCCCTATAGCCCGAAAAAACCCACAAGAACCTAGTGATTCCAGCCATGAAAGCCTTCGACAATACATCAATATAACCTCTCATTAGCGTCTCAAGTAAAATCAAGATCCAATCTCATCATCCGTTGTTCCGTATTCCTATGTTCATTACACTGCCTATTCAAATGCCTGCTCGAACAAACAGGTCTTCACTTTCCTTCGAAATGCCAATAGGGAGGAGGCCGATCTAATTTATGTAGGAAGGGCGTTCCACACTGGGGCCACCACTGAGAAGGCCCTGTCTCTTGTCCCCGCCAGACATACCTGTGATGCAGGTGGGGCCGAGAGTAGGGCCTCCCCAGATGATCTTAATGTCCTAGCTGGTTCATAGGAGGAGATGTGTTCGGACAGGTAAGTTGGGCCAGAACCGTTTAGGGCTCGAGACCCTATTAACCAACATAAGGAAGAACGAAGAAGTAAAAGGCCTCAGAACTAAAAGTCATATACAAGGGCGGCTCAACCATTACGCAAAGTAAGCATTCGCAGTATAGTTGATTTTGCCCAGGGGCGCTCTTGGGGGAAAATAGACCTTGACATATGCGAGTTGTAGTTACTGGGATGTATAGTTCACCTACAATCAAAGAGCATTCTGAACTCCACCAATGATGGAATTGAACCAAATATGGCACACAGAACTCCCACGACGAACAGAAAATATATATCAGTGATTGGTTGGGGGGCACCAAAATACTGTTTGCTTTCCGTTGAAAATTACCTAGGGCCACCTCTGGTCATATATATAAAACCCGTGCATTTGCAGATGACATAGTGTGTTTTATAGAAGTTTTGTAGAAGATCCCTTAATTGGTATAAATAAATGGCTGAGAGAAATAGAGAAATGTGGAGAAGTGGCTGGATTAAAACTAAACAGATAAAACACAAATCATCACTAAGAATATCTGTAAAGAAAGAAAAGAGAAACTCTAGGAAAAAACAAGAATCAAAGAAGTTACAAAGGTAAAATACTTAGGCATAATAATCTCATCTAGTAAACCCCTGTGCCGGCAGAACTGAAGACCAACAGGTTGCAGGTTCGAATCCGGGGAGAGGCGGATGAGCTCCCTCTATCAGCTCCCGCTCCTCATGCGGGGACATGAGAGAAGCCTCCCACAAGGATGATAAAAACATCAAATCATCCAGGCGTCCCCTGGGCAACGTCCTTGCAGACGGCCAATTCTCTCACACCAGAAGCAACTTGCTCCTGACACAACAACAAAAAAAAACAAAACAAAAAACATGCACTTCACAAAAAATAATTATGAAATAAATGGCAAGAAATAAAAAGAAAATTAACGAAGTGGGAACATCTGAACCTCTCCATACTGGGTAGAATAGCAGTAATAAAAAGGAATATCCTACCGGACATCTTATTTACATTCCAGACACTCCCTGTATTAAAATCAAGAAAAATGCCACAGAATTAGCAAAAGGAGATAATTAAATTCATTTGGAGAGGCAAAAAACATAGAATAAGCTCCAAAAATTTAATTTATGACAAAAAATGAGGAGACCTAGGCCTACCAGAGCTCCAACTGTATTATGATGCAGCTGCTCTGAGTTGGCTAAGAGATTGGGCAACACTGCGGAAAAAAAGGGAAAAACTTGCTTTAGAAGGTTTTGATATTGTTCAGGGATGGCATGCCTACCTTTGGAGAGGAAAGGCAAAAACGGAAAGAAACTTTAGAAACCATTTGATAGGCGCCGCCCTTATCCAGACCTGGAATAAATACAAAGAAATAAAATAAATACAGAGAAGTCAGCCATAGCAGAGCACCTGATGAACCAACCTGGACGCAGCATATTATTTGAGAACACAGAAATGCTGGACCACTCTCCAACCACCATGTCAGACTACACAGAGAAGCCATTGAAATCCACAAACAGACAATTTCAACAGAAAGGAGGAAACCATGAAATGAACAAAATCTGGCTACCAGTATTAAAAACTCTAAAATTACAACAGCACAACAACAGAGAGGAAACAAACAAGGACATCTAATCACCTCTCAACAAAAGTTTGCTCTAGGCACTGTCAGGCCATTATATGCTAATCAAGGTGGTCAGTTGAAACATTCACACCTAGCTCCAGCAGACAAGAGTCCTTTGTCTCACCCTGGTCATTCCACAGATATATAAACCTTTTCCTAGTTCCAACAGACCTCACTACCTCTGAGGATGCTTGCCATAGATGCAGGCGAAACGTCAGGAGAGAATGCCTCTAGACCATGGCCATATAGCCCGAAAAAACCTACAACAACCCAATACAAAGAAAGACTATATCAAAGGACACCACTGTGGTTTTCACCCAACGAAGCCTATCATAGGAGAGAACTCCCCAGAGAAAAATGGTTGACATATAACCAACTATTAAAAATAAAAATGCAAGAGGTAACACTGAAATCACAAGAAGAACTAACATTAATGGACCCAACCATTTCATGGTTTCAATATCATCAAATCAAAGAAAATTTTAATATAGACAACAAAACAGGTTTCGAAACAAAGGACACATTCTGGGACAAAATAATAAAAACGGACACAAAACCAATAAAGAAAATATACCAACAACTATTACGGTATATTCTGGCATATAAGATGACTGGGCGTATAAGACGACCCCCAACTTTTCCAGTTAAAATATAGAGTTTGGGATATACTCGCCGTATAAGACCACCCCTCTTTGAATGCACACCAAATAAAAATTTAAAAAAATCAGATTTGAATTCAATATGGTAATTTTAATTCAAAGGCTGAGAGGAGATATGATAGCCATGTATAAATATGTAAGAGGAAGCCACATGGAGGAGGGAGCAAGCTTGTTTTCTGCTTCCCTGAAGACTAGGATGCGGAACAATAGCTTCAAACTACAAGAGAGGAGATTCCATCTGAACATGAGGAAGAACTTCCTGTCTGTGAGAGCCGTTCAGCAGTGGAACTCTCTGCCCCGGAGTGTGGTGAAGGCTCCTTCTTTGGAAGCTTTTAAACAGAGGCTGGATGGCCATCTGTCGGGGGTGATTTGAATGCAATATTCCTGCTTCTTGGCAGGGGGTTGGACTGGATGGCCCATGAGGTCTCTTCCAACTCTTTGATTCTGTGATTCTATACTTATGACATGCAGGTTCCTATGAGAGGGACATTGTGCCTTACATTGTACATTACAGTTGCTCTTCCTTCCTTGAATTTCATTTACACTCTGTGTCCTGTACATCATGCTGGCAAGTATGAAAGCAGGCTTTAAATGGTTCAGATTACATTTATGTTAGGCACAGAAGCTTGCATACAAACAGAAGTCAGGCTTTGTATTATGAGTACTGACGTGAAGGCAAAGCATTTGTAGACTTTTTATCTATATGCAGTCTTTATAAATCAGGACCTCCTATCAGAAGAGAGGGGCAGATTGGACCCTCATCCTTCAGAAATGTAGCATTTGACATGGCACATGTTTACTGGGTCACATCTTGACATGTCTTCATCCTTAAATCACTGTGACAGCTTGAATTGTTTTAGAGTTTCTCAAGAACACAGCCAGGTGATGTTTAATTGTTAGAAGGGGAAAAGAGATCAGAAAAGAGGAAGGGGGACCCTGGGCAAATAAGAGCTTTCAAGTTTGACTTCTGTCAAAAATGAAATGCAAAGATACACGGTGGGGGATGCGTGGCTCGAGAGCAGTACGTGCGAAAAAGATCTTGGGGTCCTTGTGGACAACAAGTTAAACATGAGCCAGCCATGTCATACGGCAGCAAAAAAAAGCCAATGGGATGTTGGCCTGCATCAATAGGAGTCTAGTGCAGTGTTTCTCAACCTGGGGGTCGGGACCCCTGAGGGGGTCGCAAAGGGGTGTCATAGGGGTCGCCAAAGACCACCAGAAAACACAGTATTTTCTGATGGTCATGGGGATTCCATGTGGGAAGTTTGAGCCAATTGTATCGGTGGTGGAGTTCAGAATGTTCTTTGATTGTAATGAACTATAAATCCCAGTAACTACAACTCCCAAATGTCAAGATCTATTTTCCCCAGTGTTCACATTTGGGCATATTGAGTATTCATGCCAAGTTTGGTCCAGATCCACCATTGCATGAGTCCACAGTGCTTTCTGGATATAGGTGAACTACAACTCCCAAACTCAAGGTCAATGCCCATCAAACTCTTCCA